ATACTAAAGTTAAACAAATGCTTGTTCTGAATTCAGCAATTCCACTCGTGTGGCAGCACTCATGACCACCCAGAGACTTGTACAAGACTGTTTGTAGCAAGTGTATTCATAATATCCCCAAACGGGAAACAACCCAAATGTCTTTTATCAGGGGAATGGATAAATAAACCACAGTATTTTCACACAACAGAATATTATTCAACAATATAAAAGAATGAGGTATTGATATACCTAGTAACATGGACGTACCTCATCATGCTGAGCAAAACAAGCCAAACACAAAAGAATACATAAATGTATAATTCCACTTACATAAAAAAAGCCAACCAAACTGATCAATGGTAATGGAAGTTAGACCAGTGGATAACTCTGGAGGGATAATAATAACTGAGCAGGAGCACAACAGAAACTTTTGGGGCATCAGAAACATCCTACATTTTACCGTGGGTGGTGATTCCACTGGTATATAATACATAAAAATCAGTGCACTTAATATATGCACTTAATATATGTAACTTATATGTCAATAAACAAAAACAAACTTTGCTCTTGGAGAGGTCTATTCAGAGTAATGGTTCACAGGAAAGCCCAATTCTCAGAAAGCAGAGGAAGCAATAAAAGGAATTATGTATTATTCTTGACTTAAGATTTGATCAGTAAGGGAAAACTGATTTCTAATAGAAATCTTGAGAAAAAAATGAAGGTGTGATTTTAGAGTTTTTAACAGCAGAAGGGAATGTTGTGCATGAACAGATATGTAACCTAGACTTTAGGAAAACAGAATCAAGACAAATGTCTCAGATAAGATGCTTCTGATTTCAAGTAACAGAAACCAATAGAACCAACAACAGTGAGACCTGCAGAAACCAACTATGTTGGTTATAGTAAATGGCAGTAACAAACGCTCAGTAAATATTACAAATATTATGACTCTAAGGGACAGAGGCACATAAAAAGTAATCCTAACTATACAACTGTGAAAAATCCCAAGAAGAAAAAAAGCAAGGACTTAAAACCATTTTGGCTGATTTACATTTATAAAAGATAGAATAGGCAAAGCGCTGAGGAGTGATAACATGGCAGAATAAGAGTCTTCTATCATCTTTCCTGCAAAGAACACAGACTTAGACAATCACCCATGGATGAGAGTGTCTTTGTGGAAGTCCAAGAGTCCAGCAGGGAAGTTTCAATACATGGTAGAAGCAAAAAAAAAAAAAAAAAAAGGCAAGCCAAATAAACAAACAACAACAATAACAACAAAAGAATGAAAAAAACAGAAAACCCAGGACTGGATGCACTGAAAATGTAAGAGGCAGTTTCATTTTGTCTGTGTCACACCCCTCACCCCCAAGGTGGTAAAGCTCAGTGTCAAGAGAGACCTTCTTGGCCCATTATTTCTCCCACAGGGGAAAGAGAGTGTGTGAGCACTCAGCTTCCCTAGCTGTGCGGGATGCCACCAAAAAGACCCACTTCCCTCTCATCCAACCAGAATACTGAAGTGTCCTGAGTGCCTCGGGGGCGGGGGGCAGGGAGCAGCTGGGGGAACAGCAGTGAGTGTGCTGGAGGGCAACAAAGGACCGCAGATCCTATGAGCCACTTTGTGGACTCCATCAGGAAGCCTGCCAAAGAGCCACTGGGGATGCTTCAGCTGCAGATTCGCCCAGGCTCTGCATGCCTCACCTGCACACACACACCCCACCCCCTGTGGTTGGCTCCCTGGATACATCCCTGATGGCGGTGAGAGCAAGACTTCAGAGACAGCTAGTGAGCCCACACAGGCCAGCCTGACTCTGCAGGACTGGGGGAAAAGCACTAAAGCCTGCGTATTCAGTACCAAAGGAGAGTAAATGTGAGTCTGTCAGCACCCGGCCTAGCTTTGCAGGACTGAGAGAAGGCATACAATTTTAGGAAATCCTCCCCACAAGGGATCAAGAAGAGTGGGGTAGATATATCCACAGAAGATCTGAGAACACCTCAGAGTCCCTAACGGGGCTGACAGAAGGTATTTTCTCCCAAAGGCAGTAGTAAGTAAAGACAGGAGGAGGTGACTGCCTCTTCAAATGCAAAGACGTAACACCAGACTTCAAGAAACATGAAAAATCAAGAAAACATGACACCACCAAAGGAATACAATAATTTTCCTTTAACCCTAAAGAAAGGGAGATTTATGACTTACACAATAAAAAAAAATTCAAAATAATTGTTTTAAAGATGCTCTGTGAGCTATAACAGAGAAAAACATTTAAATGAAATTAGGAAAATATACAAAAATTGGAAGTTTAACAGATAAAATCATAAACAATAAAGCAAAACAAGACAAATTCTAGACCCAAAGAACATAATGAAATGAAAACTGCAATGGAAGACACCTATTGCCAACTGGACCACGCAGAGGAAAGAACCTGTGAGGTAGAAGACAGGTTATTTGAAACTATCCAGTCAGAGGAGAATACAGGAGAAAAAGAATGAAGAACTCCTATGTAAATAATAGGATACCATTAAAAGAAGCATCCACACATTACTGGAGTCCCAGAAGAATAGAGGGAAAAAGAGACAGAAAGGTTATCTAAACAAATAATAGCTAAGAATTTCCCAAATCTTGGCAGAAACTAGGACCTCCAAGTTCATGAAGCTCACAGGTCTCCAAATAATTTCCAGTGAAAAATATCTTCTCTAAAACACATTATGATAGGGACGTCTGAGTGGCACAGTCAGTTAAGCAGCTCAGGTCATGATCCTGGGGTCCTGGGATCAAGTCCCTCATCGGGGAGCCTGCTTCTCCCTCTGCCTGAAGCTCCCCCTGCTTGTGTTCCCTCTGACAAATAAATAAATCTTAAAAAAAATAAAATAAAACACATTATGATGAAAGCGTCTACAATCAAAGACAAAATTATAAAAGCAGGAAGAGGAAAAGAAAAATTCCTCCCATTTAAGGGGAAGCCCTGTCAGGCTACTGGCAGACCACTCAGCAAAAGACTGTAGCCAGGACAGAGTGGGGTAACATAGTCAACATGCTGAAAGAAAAAAACCTGCAAACCAAGAATACTTTACCCAGCAAAGCTGTGCTTCAGAAATGGGAGAGAAAGACATTCCTATACAACAAAAGGTGAAGGAGTTCACCACTAGACTTGCTTCACAAGAAATGCTGGAAGACATCTTTCAAGTTGAAATGAGAGGATGCTGATTAATAACATGAAAACATGAAATTACAAAACACATTGGTAAAAATAAGTGTACAGTCAAATTCAAAACACTCTAATATTGTAATACGGTTGTGTGTTCAACATTAATTCTTTTTTTTTAAATTTTATTTATTTATTTGAGAGAGAGAGAATGAGAGACAGAGAGCATGAGAGGGAAGAGGGTCAGAGGGAGAAGCAGACTCCCCGCCGAGCAGGGAGCCCGATGCGGGACTCGATCCTGGGACTCCAGGATCATGACCTGAGCCGAAGGCAGTCGCTTAACCAACTGAGCCACCCAGGCACCCCATCAACATTAATTCTTATGTAAGGGTTAAAGGGCAAGAATGTTAAAAATAACTATAGCTACAATAATTTATTAATAAATACAAAATATAAAAAGAGATAAATTGTGACATCAAAGACATAAAATGGGAGGAGCAGTAAAAAGGTGGAGTTTTTATATGCAGTTGAAGTTAAGTTGGTTATCAGCTTGAAAAATGTTTTATCTATGTCTTATGTAAGCCCCAGGATAACCACATAGCAAAACCTACAGTAGAAGACACAGAAAAGATAAAGAAAAGGAAATCAAAGCATACCTCTCTGAAAAATGGTCAATTCACAAAGGAAGACAGCAAAAGAGGAAGAAAGGAACCCGGGAAGTATAAAACAGCCGGAAAATAACTATTAAGGCATCAGTAGGTCCTTATTTACTAATAAACATAAATGGACTAAATTCTCCAATCAAAAGGAAGAGAGTAGCTGAATGGATAAAGAAAATAAGACCCAACTATACGCTGCCTTAGAAGAGACTCACTCAGTTTTAAGGGCACACTAGGCTCAAAGTAAACAGATGGAAAAAGATATTGCATCCAAATAGAAAGCAAAAGAGAGCAGAGGTAGTTATACATATATCAGATAAAAAAGACTTAAGAGTCACAAACCGTAGAGACAAAAAGGGCCATTATATAATGATAAAGGAATCAATTCATTCAGAGAATATAATAATTATAAATACATATGTACCTAACATCAAAGCTCCTGAATCTGTTAAGCAAATACTAACAGATCTCAAGGGAGAAATAGACAACAATGCATAGTAGTAGAAGACTTCAGTACCCCACTTTCAGCGATGAACAGATCATCCAGACAAAAAATTAACAAGGAAACTGGACTTGAACCTACTTTAGACCAAATGGACCTAAAAGACATATAAGGAACATTCTATCCAACACCACCAGAATACACATTCTTCTCAAGGACACAGGAGCATTCTCCAGGATAGATCTTAACTTTGCTAAATTAAGAAGACCAAAATCATACCCACAGTCTATCCCAACAAAAATAGTATGAAACCAGAGATCAAAAAGTGGAAAATTCACAAACATGTAGACACTAAATAACACACTCCTGAACCACCAAAAAGGTCAAAGAAGAAATCAAAAGATATCTTGAAACAAATGAAAATGGAAACGAAATATCAAAACCTACGGGATGTAGCAAAAGCAGCTCTGAGAGGGAATTCTGTAGTGCTAAATGTCTACAGTAAGAAAAAAGATTTCAAATACACAACCTGTATTACACCTCAAGGAACTAGAAGAACAAACTAAGCCCCAAGTTAGCAGAAAAAAGGAAATAACGAACATCAGAGCAGACGTAAATGAAATAAAGACCAGAAAAATAACAAAAAAGATCAATGAAACTAGGAGTTGGCTTTTTGAAAAGGCAGACAAAATTGAAAAACTTTTAGCTAAACTAAGAAAAAAAGAGAAAAACCTTAAATAAAATCAGAAATGAAAGAGGAAACATTACAACTGATACCGTAGAAATACAAAGGATCAGAAGAAACTACTAGGCCAACAAATTGGGTAACCTATAAAAAATAGATAAATTCTTAGGATCATATGCCCAATAAAATGGAATCATGAAGAAACAGAAAATCTGAACAGAACAATAAGGAGTAAGGCGATTGAACCAGTAATCAAAACTCCCCCAACAAAGACAAGCCCAGTATGAAACTGTTATGCCAATACTTCTCAAACTCAGCATAACAGCAGGTTATTACCTGCTGAGTATATTACCCTACAGCTAATATATACTCAGTGGTGAAAGGCTGAGATCTCCCTCTGAGACACGGGACAGGGGAGGGTGCCCCCTCTCACCTTTTCCATTTAGCATGACACTGGAAGTCCTAACTGGAGTAATTAGGCAACAAAAAGAAATAAAAGGCATCTACATCAGAAAGGAAGAAGGGAAATTATCTGTTTGCAGATGACATATTATACTGAGAAAATCTTAAAGACTCCATCAAAAACACTGTCAGAACTAATCAACAAATTCAGTAAAGTTGCAGGATACAAAATCAACATACAAAAATCAGTGGTGTTTCTATACAAGGAAGTATCTAAAAAAGAAGGAAAACAATCCCATTTAGAATAGCATCGAAAACAAAATACTTAGGAATAATTTAACCAAGCAGGTGAAAGATCTCTACTCTGAAAAGTCTGAGACACTGATGAAAAAAAATCACAGAAGACACAAATAAATACAAACGTATCCCATGTTCATGGATCAGAAGAATTTTTTTTAAAGATTTTATTTATTTATTTGAGATAGAGCAAGAGAGCATGAGGGGTGGGGGGAGCAGAGGGAGAAGCAGGCTCTCCGCTGAGCAGGGAGCCTGATGAGGGGCTCAATCCCAGGACCCTGGGATCATGACCTGAGCCAAAGGCAGACGCTTAACCGACTGAGCCACCTAGGCGCCTCGATCAGAAGACTTTCTATTGTTAAAATGTCCATACTACCCAAAGCTATCTATAGATTCAATGCGCTCCCTATCAAAATTCCAATGGTACTTTTCACAGAAATAGAAAAAACAATCTAAAATTCATATGGAACCACAAAAGACCCCGAAAAGGCAAAGCAATCCTGAGAAAGAATAAAGCTGGAGGCATCACACTTTTTTATTTCAATCTATATTACAAAGCTATGGCGATGAAAACAATATGGTACTAGCATAAAAACAGACACACATTAATGGAACAGAATTGAGAGCCCAGAAATAAACCCTCTCATATTTGGCCTGTTAATATTTGACAGAGGAGCCAAGAATACTCAATGGGGAAAGAATGGGGGAAGAACACTCTCTTCAGAAAATGGTGGTAAGAAAATTAGATAATCACATGCAGAATAAAGAAAATGAACCCCTATTGTATACCGGTCATGAAAATTAACTTGAAATAGATTACAGACTTAAAACCTAAAATCATAAAACTCCTAGAAGAAAACTTAGGAGGAAAGCTCCTTGACACTGGTGTTGGCAATGATCTTTTCAATATGACCTCAAAAGAACAAGCAACACAAGCAAAGATAAACTACACCAAACTAAAAAAAAATTGTGTAAAAAGCAAAGGAAACCATCAACAAAATGAAAAGGCAACCTATGGAATGGGAGAAAATATTTGCAAGCCATATATTTGATAGGGGTTAGTATCAAATATGTTTAAGGAACTCATACAACTCAACAGCATAAAAACAAATAATCCAATTTAAAAATGGGCAGAGGACCTGAATAAACATTTTTCCAAAGAAGACAGATGAATGGCCAGCAGGTACATAAAAAGGTGCTCGATAGCACTACGTATCAGGTAAATGCAAATCAAAACCACAATTATCACCTCACACCTGTTAGAATGAATACTATCAAAAAGACAAAAGATAAGTATTGGTGAGGATGTGGAGAAAAGGAACCTTGTGCACTATCAATGGGAATGTAAATTGATATAGCCACTATGGAAATACATATATTGCAAATTCTTTATCCATTCATCTGCTGATGGAAACAATAGGTTGTTTCTGTGTCTTGGCTATTGTGATCAATACTGTGATAAATATAGGGGTGCAGATACTTCTCCAAGGTAGACTTTATATTCTTTGGATATATACCCAGATGGACCATATGGTAGTTCTATTTTTAAATTTTTTTTTTTAGATTTTATTTATTTATTTATTTATTTGACAGAGAGAGAAAACACAAGCAGGGGGAGCAACAGAGGGAGAGGGAGACGGAGAAGCAACGCCCCCCCCGCACTGGGCCTTGGTGCAGGGAGCCCGATGTGGGACTCGATCCCAGGACCCTAGGATCATGACCTGAGTGGAAGGCAGACACTTAACCGACTGAGCCACCCAGGTGCCCCCTATTTTTAATTTCTTGAGGAACCTCTGTATTGTCTTCCAAAGGGGTTATATCAACTTACATGTCTATCAACTGTGGTGATATGTGTACACACAATGGGATACTATTCAGTCATAAAAAAAAATTAAAAAAAGGGAAGGAAATCCTGCCACTTGCAACAACATGGATGGACCTTGAGGACATTATGCTAAATGAAATAAGACAAAGAAAGACAAATACTGCATGATCTCACTTATATGTGGAATCTAAAAAAGCTAAACACATAGAGACAGAGTTTCCAGGGGTTGAGGGGTGGGGGAAATGGGAGATGCTGGTCAAAGGGCACAAAGTTCCAGTTATAAGATAAGTAAGTTCTGGGGATCTCATGTACAGCATGGTGACCTTGGTTAACAATACTGTATTATATACTTGAAAGCTTCTGAGAGAGTAAATTTTAAAGGTTTTCGCCATGCACACACACAGAAGGCAAATGTGTGAGATGAGAGACGTGGTAATTAACCTTACTATGGTATTCACTTCCTAACATATAGGTATATCAAATCATCACACTGGACGACTTAAACTTACACAATGTTAGGAGTCAAGTATATCTCAATATAGCTGGAAAAAATGTTTCTCAGCAATGTTTTGTAGCTTTCAGTGTACAGATCTTCTACACATGCTAATTATATTCCTGTTTCATATTTTTGATGCTATTGTAAGCAGACTGCTATTTTTATTATATTTTATAATTGTTTACCGATAATATAATGAAAGATAGTTGATTTTTAAAATTAAACTTTTGGTTTTGAGATAATTTTAGATACACATGCAGTTGTAAGAAAGAGTTTCTCTGCACTCTTAAAAGAACTGAGAATTAATATAAGGTATGGCTCAAACCTATATAAATAATATAAGTAATGTTAAGACTTCTAATGATATTAAACAAATTCAAAAAAAGAACTGTATAATAGGTTAAACCAAACTTGAGTGCATACTGATACCTACAGAATGTAAAAACAATGACAATGCAGAGGAAAGTCTATAGTGACATGACACAGGGCTGTCCTAATTCTGACCTGTTCAACGACATGAAGGAAGAAATAGAATGAATACTTATTAAATATACCAGTGACATAAAGTTGGAAAGGACAGTTAAAACCCTGAATAAATGAAGACTCATAGTTATTCTGACAAGCTGGAAAACTTGGCCAAAAAACTGAACAATCATATATGTGAAGTCCTGATATCAAGGATAAAAAGCAATTCTCTTAGACAAGGATGGCATAAATCTAGTTCACTATAGTTTATGTAAAAAAGATCTAGAGCTTACAGCATAATATCACCGATATTCTTCAAAGCAAATATAATCTGATTCTAAACAGAAGTATAATCCAAACCGAAAGAAGTACTTTTAGGTATTAAAAGTCTATAAAACTTATCATAAACATATCTAAATAACTATGTTTAATTTTAGGAAATGCATTTTAAGAAGCATGCTCTGAGGCAGGACAGTCTTGGGAAAAGAGGTCCAGATATATCATATGAAGATCCATCAAAGGAACTGTGACTGTTTTGCTTAGAAAAGAATTTATGAGTAGGAGTTATAACAGCTGAATTCACATTCTGAAGGGCAGTAATGTGAGAGAGAGAACAGTCTCTTGCTTTTGGAAACTAAGAACTAAGATCCAACACAGAAGTTACAGGAATAGGCACTTCTGCCTAACATAAGGAACTTAACAAAACAAAAAAAAAAAAAAAGGAAAGGGCCACCAAGGGAATAGTCTGCACCCAAAATGGAGAGTTTAATGCCACATTTCTCCAGGCATGGGCTTAACAAACGGCCATCTGCCACGGATACTTTAATTCTTGTACTGAAGGGACGATTACCAAGATTTTTTCTGACTAAAAGATTATCATTCTAATATTTAAGAAATAAAAGTCATGTGAGGACCACAGACATTCTGAATCATCGCTCCTTTTCATTCCCCGATCCCGAAGCCAGGGAGAATTAACTCTAACTGCAAGTCTCTTCATATAAACGTTAGGTAAGAATCTCGCACCGTAATGCAAGTCATTCTTTCTCTAGCCTTAGGATAAGGTCCCCTCCTTCCACCTCTACCAGCTGTCAGGTACTGGATCGTCCAGTCCTGGCTGTTGCCTCCATCATCTCGGCCGTCCCCACTACCTTCCATCTCAGGAGCGCATTCCGTTCCTCTGGAACCTGGAGCCTAGGGTTTCCGAAGCAGCGTCCTTCCAGCTGGGGCCTCGGTCTGGGGCGCAGATGAGCCCTTACACACGCTTAGGTTGGCGGCCCTAAAAGACACAGCCCGGGTCAGCAGCATGCGTCACAGTCACACTTCAGAGTTTTGCACAGTGGCTAGGAGATCCCTGGAAAAGAGAAGTGCCCGCCGAGAGCCACTACACAGGCACTGCCGCGGAACAAAAAGAGAGCGGAGCTCGAGTACGCAGGGTCAGCTCCAGATGCAAAAAACCCCTCGGTGCCTACCCTCGAACCTGGCCAGAGGCGCCCCCAGACCCGGCCCGTTACCTCCGTGCACACTGCGGGCTCCCACCCCGGCTCGGATGCAGGAAGACACACCTGTTGCGGGGTGGAAAAGCTGGAAGGTGGGCAAGCAGGGCGGGGCCCGTTCCAGTCCTTCCTCCCAGACCG